ATTTGTCACAATATTTTGTTACACAGACCACAGTGTTTTGGCTTTCGTAATTCGTACTCGTTACTCGGGTCTCGTAAGTCATACTGTGTCGCGCTTTATACTTACTGTCTGCAAGTCTGCTGTAATTGTAAATTGTAATAGATATTGTCTATAGTCTATTTTATAATGTCTAATAAAAGAAAAATTACCACCTATTTTACTTGCTCGACCACTAAACACTCGGACTCGGATGAAAAAAATAGTAAGATCCCTAAGATCATTACAGAAAATGAAGTTGTGTGGGTAATATTTGTTTAACTAATTAATGTAAAATATTTAATTTATGAGGGAAATGGGAATATTAATTCAAATTACCTATTGTATTAGGCTGTTGATTTCAGTTTCCACGATATTGACTGATGCTGATAGATATTTGGTAAGAATTAAATCTTTTGTCGGTCATTAATTATACATGTAGCATGTGTAGTTGTAGTTCATTATTACAACTAATACAACCAAAATTGATTAAGATTCTTGAAGATGTGTGGATACCACCAGCTACATCCCCCCCCCCCCCATGACAAAATCATTTGACCGCCACTGCCCCCTCCCCCTCGGGAATTTTCCTATGGGCGCCTTTGGCCTATAATATTATGAAGACGTCGTACCGGCATGAAATATCTCCGTCTACGTACCTACGACTTGCCAAATTGTTAACCAGTCTCACAGTGGCGTATATAGGGGGGAGGCCCCCTAGGCCAGAGCCCATAGTGAAATTACAGGTTCAATTAAAGCATTGCATGTATAATTACCCTGTTAACAGTTTTTCACCATGATTAAGTTAGCCGGTTGATTAAAGTCATTTTTGAGGAATCAACAAGGAAATGTTATATTGACGGGACTTGCTTTAATGACTTATTGACTTTGATGTTAAATTCATAGTAAGATAACATTAAAATATACAAACGACACTGTCAATATTTTTAAAAAAAGAAACAAAAAATTAATTTTACATAATAATTATAAAATTGAATTGAGCAATTTTTATTTGAACTGTATAATATGTCATAATTATTAAATATATAACCACGCAGCTGCTCCCTTAAAAATGTATAATTATGGCTATGCTGCTTGACTAGTGATAATTGATAAATTGGCCCATACTGAAAATAATTCGTATATACGCCACTGCAGTCTCAATAGTGTGCTGTTAGTTTTGACATTAGAGTGAATTGACCTAACTTAAAGGTAAGATTATTATCTAGGACCCAATTCAATATTTTATTGATATTATCATTTTTAAATAATGTATGGCCTTTTTAAAGCTGTACATTTTAAAATTTTCAGAACTTACTTAAAAATAATAATATCAATAAAGGTTGAATTGGGTTCTGCAAAATAATCTTACCTATACATTTTATAAAAAGTCAACTCACTCAAATGTCAAAACTAGTAACACATTATTGACACTGAAGAAAAAAAATTTGCCATGTCGTATGTAAGGCGGAGACAATACGTGCGGATACAACGTCCTATTAAGTATATTTTATGATACGAACAGTAGTATTGTTATCAAGGTAATTTATTTTATTACTCTTAAATGTCTTAGTTCAAGCTAATTTTTCAAAAAGATTCAGGTAAGATTTTACAAATTGTGAGACTTTATTGATAGTAATTATTATTATACAAACATATTTTTTTTTTATAAAAAATTTTTTCCATTTTGATAAATTGAATCTCTCACAATGCAGGCACGTTATTTAGGGGGGCGGTAGGAGCGATCCCAAAGGCCACTTAATATAGTAATTAATAATTAACGAAAAAAAAAAAATATTAAATATAACATCTAAATTAAATAATATAATAGTATTATAGTATTATAGTATTACTATAATAGTAATATACTAATTAAAATTAATAGACAATAGTATAGTAGGCATATAATAAACAGAAAACGGCGTGAATAAAATTAGATACGTAAATTTTAATTCGTGAACATGCCACACGAACCTTTAAACCACCGGCCGCCGCTGACCATATTTCTCCACCTACCGTAGTCCGTAGTGCTGTGCATCAATAGATTACAGATAATATTATTATACTAAA